CTTCCAGCTTAGCAGCCTCATTCACCGCTTCAATCAGCTCCTCATCCGTCGTCCTGATGTTACTGAGATAGGGCTGTATCTGGAATTTCAAAGAGTCACTCGTAATGTCACGGGTCTATGAAGGAGGACTCAAATGCAGAACGAGTGTTAACAGGTTTATTGACAAACAGTAGACAAGATGTGGTGGGAGAGGTGAACAGTCCAGACAAAAGGCAGGGATGAGACACAAAGACAGCCGTTGCAGCAAAACTTGCAGAGCAGCAGCTGTAGCTAGCACAAGAAGACTGTAGGCTGGAGAGTAGTGTTTTCAGAGCAGAAAGAGACCTGAGAGTACTAGCAATAGCCAGACAGGAACCTCCAAGGACAACAGCAAGGCACTCAGGGATCTCAGGCTAAGCACCAGGCTTGCACCAAAGCACAGAGTGCAAGCAGCCAGGGACGCTCTGCTAGCAGGACTGGAACTAGAGACTCAGAAGACAAGACAGACAGGACCAATGGCAGAACTAAAGCACTAACAAACTTCTACAAATAAAACACAATAGACTTAGGTAACAAGAAACTAGCTAAGTAGCACAGATTTAAACAGTAGCACAACATTCAACGAACTGGCAACACATGAGGGAAAGAGCACACACATAAAGGGAGTTAACAAGAGTAACAGGTGAGAACACTTAGACAAGGAACAGGTGAACACTCACGTAAACGAGGACTGAAACAAGGGAGCAGAGAACATGAGGAACAGGTGACAACACTCAGACAAACGAGGACTCAACTAGACAAGAGGGCGTGGTACAGAGAAACAAGGAGGCAGGAACAGAGGAGCACATGGCCAACACAAACCCAACCATATGTTCAAGCACAACACAAACATAGAGACATGAAACAAAGACAACACAGACAAAGCTGCCAGGGCAAGACCCTGACACGTAAGCCCGGTTTCAATTGAACGCAGAAATTTACGCTGGATGATATCTCTGCTATAGCGGTCATCATCGCCATCCTCAGCTTTCCACAGCAGTTTCTCTTTCAATTCAATTGCCCTGAAGATGAAGTTCTGAACTGACTCTTTGGGTTCTTGGGATACGTTAATGAGCTGGTGGTACAGAGCAGTTGTACTGTCAACTTTGTAATGGCCCTTCAAGATGGTATGTAACGACTGGAGCGCAAGACCACGCTTAATCTCCAACATATCTCTCAGTGGCAAGCCTGGGGTGACAGCTCTAATCACTGCCTCTACTATCTCAGTCTCAGAGTGGCCCTTCTCTAATCCCACTTCCATTTGGCGAATTAGACTGGGGTAGGACAACTTTTCTTTCTGTCCACTTTCTCCTATCTGTCCCCAGATCTTAAATTCTCTTCTTAGAGTCACTTCAGTCAATTTCTGAGACGGTTCAATCCTCTTCTCATACCTTGTGTTACTTTTAAAAGGCTTGTGACTGTCTACCCTCCTTTCAGCCTTACAATAACTTTCCTCATCTCGCTGTGAGCGGCTAAGATACCTTTCTTCCAGCCCTCTAACTTGAGTTGGTTTCTCTCCCATCACCTCCACGTCAGTGGCACCTAGTCTCACCTCACTCATGAATGAGAGTAAATCTTTGAAGTGCTGCATGACCTCACTTTCGCCCTCATTCTCCTGCATTTCATCCAACGTGCTTTCGACTGTCCTAATGAGCAACCGTCTGGGCTTACCTGAGGACACATCACATTTCAGGTAACGACAAACCTCCTGCAGATGGTCTTCGTCCAACTGCCAGAGATCGGCGCTCACTTGGTCGTGAAGGTGTTCCATGGCTAAGTTCGTCTCTGTATGAAGAGGTAGTCTTCGTCACACTGCTCTACCTCTCCTGGCTGCTTGGCTCGCCAAAATATGTTACACATGTAGAAAGGAATAGGCGTCGTTTCTGGTGCAACACATTTAATAAGGGTTTTTGCATGCAATCCTGCAAGACAGATATAATAGTATGAAGTCAATCACAAGTGGAGCATCTCAATTCAGTGTATTATCTATCTGCTCGTCTCTGCATTAACTGCTATATTACTCATATCAAATTCAGTATAACATTTTCTATTGTTCACTAAACTAAATTAACATTCACCTCCAAATACAGTTTGCATATCAAGCATGTGAACATCGATCTTGCCCCATAACATCAGAAATAACCCTTGTTAAACTTAATTTGAACCCATACATTTCCCTTTGTCTGTTAAACACTTCCCAAAGTACATACATTCTCTTTCCAGCATGACCTGTTTACTCTAAATAACACATTGCACTTTAATGTTCTCTAATGTGACATTTCACGACCCTTTTATACAATTATCGAGCAAATCACATCGTTTAAGTTTCCATGAACTCTAATGCCCCCGCTGAATTCAATTTGCACAAAATGGCGGACACCCGCGAACCCCACGTGCGTTACTAAACTCGCGTAACTTAAACTATTAGTTTACCCATCAATATCATACAACAACTAAATAAACATTACTGTGCATACTGTGTTTCCATAGCTTTTGCAACATACCGATTCTCGTTTCACATACAAGCTTTCATCACCATTGTGTCTGATAACGCTCTATCCACGAGTAATAACAATACAGTTTGTGTGCTCAAAACCTTCTTAACACAACAAAATACTAAACATAACTGTTCCTGGACCCCTTTGACTTGTAATAAACGTAAGTAATCTTACCTGCAAGACAGATATAATAGTATGAAGTCAATCACAAGTGGAGCATCTCAATTCAGTGTATTATCTATCTGCTCGTCTCTGCATTAACTGCTATATTACGCGTTCTTGAGCAGACCTTGGCGAGGGCTCCCTCTAGCAGTTTGGATACTTTATGCCACGGTATACACATGAATAAATACCATTCTTGCAGATCTCTATTAACGTCACTAAACAGGAGTCCAAGACACACTTCAAGCGCTTTCAGAAATTCAGTCTGAATAGATTACTCTGAATACAAAAGTATAAAGTCTCAAATTTTTAAGTGGGGGGTGGGGGGGGGGGGGGGGGGGGGGTCTTCCGTCTTAATGACTTTAATTTACAATGACTATAATTTACACTAGTGCCACATATACAGCTTTAGAGCTTTCATTCCTGCTCTGAATCATAGATATATACACTAGATGTCGCCTTGGCTACGGCAGTTCATTAGAACGAATGCGTCAATAGAGCCGCCATCTTGGAACAGGGGAGCCCCTCCACTTTAATGCATCAGCGTCAATGTAGACAAAGGTCTAACGAAAATAAAATCACCATAAATCATCATGAATGCGATTTTCTCGTTTTTTTTTTGGTTCGTTCCCACGGTCAGACATGTATTTATCATTGATTCCAGAAAAAAAAAAAAACATTCTTCCTAGTTCAGATTTCATTCGTGTGAACATCATAAACAGCACAAAACTCCACCACCACCAATTAATTAGACGTAAGGCAGAGATAGCAGCGTTACCTAGCTACTTCCTATGACAAGACCCCTGTTCCAAGATGGCGGCAGTTTATTATTTTTTTATTTTTTTATTTAAATAATGCTGAGAACAAGAACATACAAAAGAGAAAGCATACGTACATCACATAATATTAACCAAAACAATCATAAAGGAGACTACAAAAAAAAAACACAGTAGCCTAGGCTATATATATATATATATATATATATATATATATATATATATATATATAATGGCGGCGGTTTTGACGCATGCTGAGAACCCTAAGGTGACTTAGTGTATGTCTATGGCTCTGAATAAGGTCTTAACCTCCAGGATATCGCGAGTTGGATTTGTGAACATTTGTTTGGCACAGCGTGAAAATATGCGCTAACCAATTTATAATCTAATCTTTGTGTTTACAAAAAATAGGTTTGAAAATGCTAATGCAACAGTGTAAATAATTAAACTCTTCAGTATAAGAACTGTGTTTCCTTCGGGGATGAGGGAATCAAATCCCTAGACAAACTCACCCCGTCCCACCACCGTAATTCGTCCTCTGGTTTAGATGAAATTAGTGAATGTACATTACTAAACATAGATCACACCACAGCAAGTTCGGCAACACAACTGACCTACAGACGATACATGATGACAGTTCAAACTGACACGCGCAGCGAGAGCGAGCGCATGTGTTGTCATGTGACGCGCGAGGGAATTGAAGAGGCGCGCGCTGCAGCAGACGGACGCGGACATTCACACATCACTCTCCAACTGAGGTTGCTTCGGAGATGCTGATTAATATTGTCTGAAACTTACTTTCTACAGAATTTCCGTTCATTTAAAAAGTACTTTCTCCGCTCTCTAAAAAAAGTGGAGGTTGGTGCATTTTGTGTTGCAAATCAGACTGAATAACTCTCTCACCAAGACAAATGTCACCTTGCGAACAGGTGTCTTGTTGGATGACAAACTACCCATCTGTCTTTAAAGTGTTGGAGAAGAGCTACATTTAAACTTGAAGATCGGATTTTAGAAATATATGGATGATATGAAATAACCGAGTTTTTTTTTTTTTTGACAGTGAGATGAACAAACAACTACTTATGTCAAGGTCATTGGATTTATTTTAATGCTCTGATCATTACGGGAGAAGTGCATCAGGTAAGTCTGAAAATTATTTTAATTAGAAAAAATAATAATCATTTGTTTACATGCTCGCATATTTTTTCAGGCGACTGTTAAGTGAGTAGATTGTGACATGTTTTCGACTTTTAATGCTTATCCTAAAACCATAAAAAAATGCATGCTTACATAGTGTTTTAGTAATGCATTTAAACATAGTAAAGGAGAGTAGGCTAATCAATATCAAACTTGCATTATGATGGTACATTTATTTTCAGTTATAATGGCAATTTTTGCAATTGTGGAATGCATTATGCCGAGGGCCTTAATTGCCAGTTTAATATCTGAATAAAATACTTAAAAATGTATTTTCTTTTTAAATCCCACTTTAGAACTGTCAAATAAAGGAGCTTTTTCCAGGTAATATCACTGTCTATCACTCCCCTGGAATCATCATCATCATGGATCGTCTGTAAACCTCATTGTGCAGCAGGTAGCCGAACGAATGCGGCAAACACACACCTTTGCTCTTCAGTAATGAATGACAGCTCTCTAACATCTGAGAACATCATGTTTCAGGAGCTGACTGCAGATGCTCTGAACAGCAGTTGTGACTCTACCATGCCCACGTGTAACAATGGCACAGGTGAAGCGGCATTGCAGCTGCCCACCTTTTCCATGGCAGCGAAAGTGAGGGTGATAATTACCTTTACTCTTTGCGCAGTGTCAGCTGTGTGCAACCTCGCCGTGCTGTGGGCTGCCAGCACCAATAACAAGCGCAAATCCCATGTGCGAATTTTAATCATGAACCTCACCGTTGCCGACCTACTGGTGACTTTCATTGTGATGCCGGTGGATGCTGCTTGGAACATTACGGTTCAGTGGCTGGCTGGTGACCTGGCTTGCAGATTGTTAATGTTTCTGAAGCTCGTGGCTATGTACTCCTGTGCGTTCGTGACTGTGGTCATAAGCCTGGACAGGCAGTCGGCCATTCTCAACCCTCTGGCCATCAATAAGGCTAAAAAGAAGAACAAAGTAATGCTGAGTGTGGCCTGGGTGATGAGTTTTGTTCTCTCTGTCCCTCAGGTGAGGAGCTGCTTGAGTGATTTTTCATGTTTTTCTTTGTGTCTTATCTCGGTGTGCTGCATTACTCAAATTCACAAGAACCCCCAGAGTCTGGCGTAACACCCTGAATCATATAGAGAGATCAAAATGAAAACGACATCAGGCAGTTGAACTACTTGCCTTCTTGAGCTTGAAATATTCATATTTGTTGGTATTTAATCAGATTTTAAACTACAAATGCGTTCTCTCTAAATTAAATAAAATTTACTCTTTTTGTTGAAGTCTGCTATACAGTTTTTTTAAAACGGATGAAAATTAAAAATCTGTCATCATTTACACACCCTCATGTTTGACTTTCTTTCTTCCATGGAACACGAAAGAAGTAATGTCCAAGCTTCAAGGCCGTCAAGTTGTGTGTGTGTGTGTGTGTGTGTGTGTGTTTAAATCATTAGTCACATTCATTCCATCTTTGATCTCATTTACATTAAATGCCACTTCACATGCTTGAAGTCACTAATCTAATGCCATACTCTACATACCTCAGAATGCACCAAATTTGAATATGCACATATTAAAATCATCATAAAAGACATGAAAGCTACGGCAGAAGGAAATAGTGAACCTTATTGTCCCTCACACAAGGAAACCATATATGGTTGTATGAATGTTACTGCTTTTAGAACTTGACACTTCTGCAAAACGAAAAATCTGCATACTGTCTCCTTCTGTGTTTTACGGAGGTAAGAAAGTCATACATGTGTGGAACAATATCAGGGTGTAAAGGATGACAGAATTTTTATTTTTGGGTGAACTATCCTAATGTATTACTGTATTTTGTGTACCGACTGACTGTCTAAAAGACAGACTGTCTTTTAGATCATATCGACAATCATGTTTCAAATCAGTAATGTATTCAGTATTCTCCCAAGACCTATTAGAATCAGAGCTATAAAGTGTTGCAAATTCATAGATGTTCATAGATTAGTTCAGCAATTACAGTACTGAGAGCGTTTTCATCAGCCCTTTAATTTCACCTCAGATTTAACATAATGACTGGTGCAGAGACACGTTACTCAACATTACCAACACTCATTCACACGCACACACACGTCTGGTTTGCTATCTTTATGGATAATCTTCATTGACGTAATGGTTTTTATACTGTACAAACTGTATATTCTATCCTCTTACCCTAAACCTACCGATCACAAAAAACTTTCAGCATTTTTAGATTTTCAAAAAACGTACTCGGTTACTAACGTAACCTCGGTTCTCTCTAGAGAGGGAACGAGTACTGCGTAATAGTTTACGCTATGGGGGAAAACCTCTTTTCCACGAGATATTGAAGCCAAAAATTATCCTTAATTTTTTATTAATGTAAAACGCTTTGCAGCAGCAAGCAGACACAGGCGAGACAGCTTGCGCGCCTATTGGTTGCTCTTGCGGCAAATGCAGCAGCCTATCGAGAGACTCTGCGTGACGTAATGACCAATGGGGGCAACCGGCGCCCATATCGTCACGTCCTGCCAGAAAGGGCGTGGTCTAGCCCTATAAATATGCTCGTTAGGCTGGTACAAGCTGGTTTTCATCGCCGAAGCGAACCAGAGCGTATTCCAAGCACGGCAAGATACGCAGTACTCGTTCCCTCTCTAGAGAGAACCGAAGTTACGTTAGTAACCGAGTACGTTCTCTTACGAGAGTATCTCTCGTACTGCGTAATAGCTTACGCTATGGGGAACACAATGCAACACGCCGTGCGTACAGGGATCCAACACCAAAGTCCCAGAGGCCAAAGCCCAGGGCTCATATAGTGCATAATTACCATGAACTCACATAGAGTGAAGGAAGAGAGGCTGGCGGCATCATTCCTTATAAAATAGCACCCAACAGGGTTATCATATGACAATTAAACGCGCAGCCAGGGTGAAAGCTTTCAGCCTGAACTGGGTGGCCATACATGTGTCAATACTCATGGGGCTGCAGTAAACTCAGCATCTGGGCCGCACAGCGGGGCAAATAGCACTGAATTCTAGACCGCCAAAAGCTTAGCTTGTAAGGCAGGTACCTCCAGGTTATAATATTTTATAAATGTAGACGGCGAGGCCCAGCCCGCGGCCGTACAGATATCCTGCAGGGTTACCCCGCTAGACCATGCCCACGAAGAGGCCACGCCTCTCGTGGAGTGCGCTCTGACACCCAAAGGGCACTGCAGGCCCTTTGCAGTGTAAGCGAGCGCAATGGCATCCACTATCCATCTGGATAGGCTCTGTTTCGAGGCGGCAAGTCCCCTGGAACGCCCGCCAAACAAAACGAAAAGCTGCTCAGTCTGTCTGAAAACAGACGAGCGCGACACATAAACTCTCAATGCCCTGACGGGGCAAAGGAGACTCGCGTCCTCCTCCTCATTGAGAACCGGAAGGGCTGACAGGGAAATTACCTGGGCCCTAAACGGTGTATTGAGGGATTTCGGCACATACCCGTGCTTAGGTTTGAGGATGACCTTCGAGTCATTAGGCCCAAACTCCATACATGACGCGCTTACTGAAAGCGCCTGCAAGTCCCCTATGCGCTTCACTAAAGCGAGAGCCATGAGAAACACTGTTTTGAACGACAGGTGTTTCATGTCCACCAGCTGGATTGGCTCGAACGGGGCACCTTTCATGGCCACCAGGACCGTGGAAAGGTACAACGTCGGGACTGAAGGGGGCCTGGGAGGGTTTAGCCTCCGAGCTCCCCTAAGGAAACGCAGGACTAAGTCGTTCTTCCCCAGCGACTGGCCAGACACCGGTTTTGCAAACGTTACTATGGCGTATACTTTGAGCGTGGATGGGGTCCTGCCCTTATCCAGTAGCTCTTGAAGGAAGGAAAGCACTTCCGAAACCCCGCAGTCCACAGGTGAAAAGCTCTGGGCTTGACACCATGCAGAGAAAACAGACCATTTCGAGGAGTAGAGCCGCCTGGTAGACGGAGCTCTAGCCTGCGCGATCGTGTTTAACACTCCTTCTGGGAGGCTAGCGGGTACCCGTTGATGGCCCATGCGTGCAGGGACCACAGCTCCGGGCGAGGATGCCAAATCGAGCCCCCCGCCTGAGAGAGGAGGTCTCTCCTCAATGGTACAGGCCATGGGGCAGTGCTGGTCAGCTGCATCAGGGCAGGGAACCACGTCTGGTTTGTACAGAGCGGAGCTACGAGCAGCACTGGGCATCCATCTTCCCTGACTCGTTCCAACACTTGAGGAAGGAGCGAGACAGGAGGAAAAGCATATAGGGGGCAGCGGGGCCAAGCATGAGCCAGCGCGTCCTTGCTTTTCGAGAAAAACTTCGGGCAATGAGCGTTTTCGTGGGACGCGAATAGGTCCACTTGTGCTCTGCCGAATGTTCTCCACAGCAGCCGGACCGTCTCCCCTGCTGGAACATTGTTCCTGGACAGTCTGTCTGGTCCCACATTCAGGTGACCAGGCACGTGCGCTGCTCTTAGTGAGAGCAGGTTGTGCTGAGCCCAGACCAGGAGGCGTTCCGTCAGCCTGTGAAGGTTTCGTGACCTGACGCCGCCCTGGCGATTTATGTATGCCACCACTGACATGTTGTCCGACCGGACCAAGACATGGTGGCCTGTCACCCGGGGACAAAAGCGCCGTAGCGCTTTGTCGACTGCTATCATCTCCAAGCAGTTTATGTGAAGGAGCTTTTCCCGTTCTGACCACAGGCCAGCTAGCGGTCTGCCCTCGAGCAGCGCTCCCCACCCCGAGGTGGAGGCGTCCGTAGACACCACCTTCACACTCAAAGCGGTCCCCAGACTCACACCTGACTGATACCAGTCGGTTATTTTCCAAGGTTCCAGAGCTGAAACGCACTGTAGGTCGACCTTGAGGCGAAACAGACCCGCTGTCCATGCCCTGGGCGGAACCCGCGCTTTCAACCACATCTGCAGTGGGCGCATGCGAAGCAAGCCCAACTGGAGTACAGAGGCTGCCGAGGCCATTAGCCCCAGCATTTTCTGAAACCTTTTGAGCGGAACTATCGAGCCGTGGCAGAAGGATTTTGCGACGCGCTGAATATTTAGTCCACGCTCCGGTGACAGGCGTGCCGTCATGGATAGCGAGTCTAACACTGTTCCCAGAAAGGAAATTTTCTGACTGGGAGACAGTGAGCTTTTCGCCCAATTGACTGTGAGGCCCAGCTCCTCGAGGTGCTCGAGTAATGCGGCCCTGTGTTTTATGAGCTCCGATCGTGATCGGGCTAGAATCAGCCAATCGTCCAAGTAGTTCAGGACTCGCATGCCCTGAAGTCTCAGGGGTGCGAGCGCCGCCTCCATGCACTTCGTAAATGTACGGGGTGCTAGGAACAGGCCGAACGGCAGGACTGTGTATTGATACGCCTGGCCCTCGAAAGCGAATCTCAAGAATCGCCTGTGATGGGACGCTATTTGTATTTGAAAATAGGCGTCTTTCAGTTCTATTGACATAAACCAGTCCCTGTGGCGCACTTGCGCGAGGATTTTCCTGGTCGTAAGCATTCTGAACTGGCGTTTCACAAGCGCTCTGTTCAGCTGTCGCAGATCTAAAATGGGTCTGAGACCCCCATCTTTTTTCGGTACCAGAAAATATCTGCTGTATAGGCCCCCTTCGCTCTGAGCCTGAGATAAAGGTTCTATAGCCCCTTTGCTCAGTAGTTTCGCTATCTCGGCACGAAGTAGATGAGACACTTCGTTTTTCACCGTAGTTTCGACACGCGCCGTATAACGGCGAGGGCGTCGAGCGAATTGTAGCGAGTAGCCTCTCTTTATAGTGTTCAGCACCCATTCTGATACCCCGGGAAGCTTTGACCACGCATCTGCGTGTATAGCTAGAGGCTTAGTATGAATAACTTAGTATGATTAAGCAGTTTTATTCCTGATTGGGACCAAAAAAAATGTTTTGGACATCTTGTCCCCATAATGTAGGGTATACCTGAACCACACACACACACACACAGATAAATTACGCAGTTTGTTAAATTACGCAGATGTTTTTAAATTTGACATGTTCTTAAATCAGCTCGCAAATGATATTCAAAGATAATATATAAGAAAACGCTCTGTGACCTTCAGTTACAAGATCAGAAATGTTCAAGATGATAGCAGCAAGAATTACTGTGGAATGACTGTTAATAAGGGGTGATTCTCAACCAGAGGAGGTGTGCACATTTTAAACACGGCGCAGTTGAAGTAATAAATGCAGAGACCTCTTTATTTGCTCCTCCCGATGAAGTGGAGCATTTAAAATCAGCGTGCTTTCAAGTTTAGAGAAGGCAGCAAGCTAAAAGAATGAGGCCATATTACAAGCACCAAAACTCCACAGTAAAACACATTATGACAGCAGATTGTGTTTGAATGAGGTCATTTCAGAAAGGTATGATTGAAGATACAAGGTCACAATGGGCTAAAGCGCATATTTTGTTGTCATTTGTTTTTCCAGTTGTATTTGTGAATCACTTCTGAGGCATAACCAGACAGATGGCTTTAGCCTGTATGTCAGTATGCCAGTCTTCATTCGACAATTGGCAATCTCCTTGTCATAGATAGAATATGTCGTTAGACATCATAATATTTATGAAATGTTCTGCAAAAGACCGATCCTGGGAACACTGACTGAATCCTGAGCTTTTAGCTGAAGGGGATATATGCCACATCTAATTTGCAACGCTGACAGTGTTCACTTGATTAGTTGGCTGTAGATAGCATTGAATAGTCAATTAGAGTCCGGGGCTAATTTTCCAAAATAACCAATTAGTCATTTTGACAGCTTCTAAATCAAGCTAGTGTGTAATTGTTTCTTCTTAGTTTTAATGTATTTGATGGTATTAAACAAGTACAGTAGTTGTGATTGTAATCTGCTGATTTGCTGAATTCCCCAACAGATGTTTCTGTTTCACAACGTGACCATCACGGTGCCAGCCAATTTCACTCAGTGCACCACCCGCGGGAGCTTTGTGAAACACTGGCAGGAGACCATTTACAATATGTTCACTTTCATTTGCCTCTTCCTGATACCTCTGGCCATCATGATCTGCTGCTACACGAGGATCTTGGTGGAGATCTCCCGAAGGATGTCCAAAGGAAACAGTAAGTGGAGTTACATTTGAAAGGAGGCTACTGTTGCATACTAGCCTGGTTAAAACCAGACTATTCTCAGTTGTAACTGAGTTATGGTCTGGCAAAGCGTCATAGACAAATCATTTCCAGAGGGGCGTCACCAACGGACGTCGCGGATAGACCTAAAACCAATCAGAGCGATGAAGGAGATGACGTATGCAGAGCGGCGGAGAAACATCTCCGAGGGGGTTGTTCTTTGCTCGGTTTTTAACAAAAAGGAAACGTTCAAATCGCTTAAAACAGACGCGATAGCTGATTCGAACGAGTGATGTTCGACGGCGGCATCCATCTTTGTAATGTAGGCTACAACCTACATTACAACCGTACCAAAAAATTAAAACCGTACCAAAAAAAAAAAAAAAAAAAAAATGTATTTGGTCCGGACCAAAGCAAGTGAACTATCGGACTTTCCTGGTGTGAATACACCCTAAGGGCCCTATTTTAACGATCTGAAACGCAAGTGTCAAAGCGCAAAGCGCAAGTAACTTTGTGGGCGGATCCCGGCGCTGTTGCTATTTTCCCGGCGGGATAAATGCCTCTTGCGCCTGGCGCAAATCTAAAAGGGGTTGTCTGAAGTAGCTTCATTATTCATAGGTGTGGTTTGGGCGTAACGTGAAATAAACCAATCAGAGCGTCATCTCACATTCCCTTTAAGAGCAGGCGCGCTTGTTCTAAAGCGGATTCCTATTATAACGGCGGATTTGCCAGGCGCGCGCCAGGAGGGGTTCACAGCCGAGGAGAGCAACGTTCTCGTCAGGGCCGTAAAACACAGAGAAGTGACATTGGGGATGGAGAAACCCACCCAAATTAACTTCTGTTAAACAGGCGTATGATAATTTGGGTAAATGTGTAAGCTACATGTATGCTTTTATAATAAATTGTCTATCTATCTATCTATCGATCGATCGATCGATCGATCGATCTATCTATCTATCTATCTATCAGAATATCTATCTATCTATCTATCTATCTATCTATCTATCTATCTATCTATCTATCTATCTATCTATCTATCTATCGTAATAATGTATGATTTGCAAAAATGAAAACTGCTGCTTAGATGAGAGAATCAAAGTGTATGCGCGTTGTGCACACGCTACATTGATTATGGCCAAGCATGTGCGCTTAAAATAGCATTATGAACAACGCGCAACGCGCCACTGACTTTAGACTAGGTTTTTTCTGGTCAGTGGCGCAATTGTCTTATAGAACAGCAAAATAGCATGAGGGAAAGTTTGCGCCGGAACACTCCTCTTAGCGCTGAACCGCCCCGGGGAGCGCAAGTGTATTTCTTAGTTAACCGACGTGCGTCTGTGGAGGAAAAAGCCTGCTTTGCGCGGGTGCAAAATAGGAATGATACATGCGTCAGTGTACAAAGTCATTTGCGCCGAGTGCAAGATAGGGCCCTAAGAGTCAATGGGGTCCAATCATGTCAGACTTTCATTATATGGAGTCATAATATTCAGTTGAAAGATTCTTCAGAATATCTGCTTTTGAGCTCCACAGACAAAAGTCATACAGTTTTGGAATGACATGAGGGTGGGTGAATGATAACAGAATTTTAATATTAGAGTAAACTATCCTTTTAAGTCCAAAAATAAATAAATAAAAATGTGTTTGGACCATTTATTGCACATTTATAAAAATCTTCTCGCTTTTGCAGTCTCTTCAAAGGAAATCCACTTACGGCGTTCCAACAGCAACATCCCAAAGGCCCGTATGAGGACTTTGAAAATGAGCATAGTCATCGTGACGTCTTTCATAGTTTGTTGGACACCGTACTACTTGCTGGGTCTATGGTACTGGTTCCTTCCTGATGATCTAGAAGAGACTGTTTCTCACTCACTGACTCACATGCTTTTTATTTTTGGACTTTTTAATGCAATTCTGGATCCCATCACTTATGGGCTCTTCACCATCCATTTCCGCAAAGGACTGAAGCGTTACTGTCGCAACGCGGCTGTACTCGCAGAGTCAGAAAATAACTCCATCATGACGGGCTCATTGAAATGCTCACCATCTCCGTTTCACATGAAAAGAGTGACCCAGACGAGTCCAGGAGCTAACCCAGAGCAGAATATGGTGGGTGGGGAAGATAAGAAGCCAGCTGACCGTAAAAACAAGGAATAGTGGCAACCAATTCAGCCTCGAAAGTTTCATTTGATTAGAGATACGGATGTGACAAGGCAGGTCTTGTAGCTGCTCACAAGAACAATGAGACAACAACACACACTGCCTGCTCTCCTCAACAGCATGAGACAGAATCAAATCAGAGTGCGTCACATCTTTTGATTCATTCACTGATGAGCTGCGTAAATTACTCAAGTTATATTTAATACCCATTTATTTTCCTGATTCAGGTGATTACGTTTTGTAATCATTTTCTCTTTGCTTAATATGCCAATCATGTTTTTTTGTTTTTTTTTGCAGATTAATTAGAACGTTGCTACTTGTGGCTTTTGTTGAAAATGTCTTTTACATCAAGGGTTTTTATCTCGTACAAATTCATAGTTCAGCATCTCCACCTGCCATCACAAAGGGCATCGCTCTCGAATTGCTTGTTTGTGATGAAATTGCTTTCATCTACAAACAAATAAGATGTGTGAATTTAGCGTTTTGAGATATTACAAATGCAAATTAATGTTCAAGGTTCTTGATTAGTTTCGTGGTGTTAATTGGAAACGTTCAATAGTAGCTCAGGAATCCTAAACCAGCCTCTTAAGATGGTATCGGTTAATGTGTAGACTTTTTATTGAATAGATTCAGAATCACAGCTATTATTACAGGGCAGCCTGATCTCATAAGAATCTATATTTATTCAAATGTGGCCAGGGCACCAATTGCATCGCCCTGTATGTGGCGTTTACATGCTTGCATATAGGCTGTTACGTGCAATATGGATGTATTGACAGCATCTAAAATCTAACAGTATTTATATATTCTGCATTTTAAACATAAAAATCTTTCTGAATTCACTGTAAAGAAAAGTTGCTGCCTCATCTTTTTAAGTACAATCAACTTAGTTGTATAAGTCATTTCAACTTAAATTACATTAAACTTAAATTAAAAAATGAGTTGAATCTTGTATAACTTATAAAATGTTTTGAAAATTGCTTAACTTATTTGGATGAGTTAAAGCAATATAAAAACATATTTTGTCAACTTATTAATCATATTTTTTACAGTATAGTTTTATAAATGTGTTTGTAAAGTATATTTTACACTTATTCATCTTTTCTAGCCCACCCCTACCGTAAATCTAACCACTCTTCAAAATATTATAGAAACGTAATAGGCAGATAAATGTACACTGGCGATGTTTTTAGTCACAATGTACTATTATATACAATACCATTCAAAAGTTTAAGGTCAGTAAAAATTAATAAAATTAATAATTAATTGTATTAGCGATGCATTAAATTGATCGAAACGTTTATAATGTTATTTAGAATGTATCTGTTTCAAATAAATGCTGTTCTTTCTATTCATCAAAGAATCCTGGGGGGAAATGGTTTCCAAATTGTTTTTCTTGTAAGCACCACAACTGTTTTCAACATTAAATATATATTAAGAAATGTTATAGCATATTATAATGATTTCTGAAGGATCATGTGACACTGAAGAATGGAGTAAATTCAGCTTTGACATCAGGAATAAACTGCATTTAAAAAAAAAAAATTAAAATAGAAAACAGTTATTTTAAAATGTAATAATATTTCATAATATTACTGTTATTCCCGGGTTTTTTTTTTTTTAATCAAATAAATGCATCCTTGGTAAGCATAAGAGACTACTTTCAAAAACAGAAAAAACTTACCAACTCTAAACTTTGGAACAGTAATGTGTTTTTGAAACATCTTTGAAAGGAGTTCAGTCTGTTCATACACATAATGCTTGAATTTTAGATGCTGTCAATAGTTTAATAAATGTACAAGAATATAGAATCACACTTTACATGCAAATACCGACAAATGTTTATGAAGAAAAAGGTTGTACTCTGGCCAACACATACTATCAGCCTGTTGCAGTTGCAACAAGGAGAACTCTTTAGCTTTAAAATGAGATTGATGCATGAGTAGTGAATGTGTTTACATCATACTTCTCAGGGAAGGTGCTTCTTTTGTCACAGGGTATTGAAGTCCAACTGGAGACTGACAAACTGTAAAGCTTTCTTTTTTTTAATGTCAGGTGAAAACTGTCATCTCTGTTGATGTGATGTTATGTGTTCGGACAGTGCTTGAATCATACGTAATAATCAACATGTTTGAGAGCGTATTTCTGAGAGAGTCACGTGACATCCTCTAGTTGTGCTTCTTGTGTTTGCCGTGTCACTGCAGGGTGTACGTAGGCCTCAATGACCCAGATTTTCAAGCTCAGTAAATGTAATAGCCCTGCGAGAAAGTCTGCTTGAGAAGGAAAATGAAAGGGGGGTGAGTCTTTTCTGTCAATCTGTCGTAAGTGAAGTGAAGATCTATACACTCGCTCGTATAGTGCATCGCCATTAAGTGAACCACAGCTGCACTTTCATATTCCATACAAATGGAAACATTAGGTACACATTGAGTCTTGGAGAAACTTGCAAACATTTTTTTGCAGTTTAAAATGTATTAAGGCAATGTCTGCCAAATTTACTCATTATATCCATTAGGCTATATTTATTAGCTGAATAAGATTACATGGGCGAAATACATTATTGAATGACGTGAGTATGATATGGTATTTATATGAACTGTTGACATTAATCTAAAGAAGACGTTACTTGCAGTGTTAAAACCTTATTTAAATGCATGATGCCAACAATGTGTTTTTGAGAAAAAGATTTTCTTTTGTTGTGCATGATATATGATAATATTGTATTGCGTGTTATTATGTTGTCTGTTTTGGTTTATGTGGAGCAGTAAAAAACATAATGCTTTTATTTACAATCCCCTTGTTTCTTTTAAGTAGCTCAAATGTGTTAGTTTTCATTTATAATTTATCCAAAACTTGTTGAATATACTCATAAAGGTTTAAACAACTATATAATTGTTTCTAACCATTCTGTTCTCACTAAATAAATTGTAATGGATTCATATTCAAACATTTATATTCATAACAGATTCTTTCCTTAAGTGACTTGTAATAAATGTGCAACCCGCATTAATGGCAATTAGAACGTTCATGAGAATACATAAAACATGCTATGTTAAACAAAAAGCTAACTGTGAAAACATAAATCTAGCTGCTTTTACTGTTCAAGTACATTCACTCTTTTACATTCCCTCTTCAAGGTTCTTATGATGCTGGTTCTTTGCATTTTAGCCAAGAAAAAAATCATGTTTGGCTGTAATAGGCTCTAGAGTTGGCTGGTTATTTTCATGATAGCCAGTGTATTGGTTTCTGGGTTCTCCAAAGCAGCAGCAACAGTGTTTTTTTGTGTGTGTTTTTTTTGTGTGTTTTTTTGAAGAACTAATAAAAAAAGTTTTTCTATGATATCAGGCAGTAAAATCCTGTTTGGTTCAAACTTGCACCTTTAATTCTAAAGCTGTAGAATCTTTAATTCTAGCTGAAGATAAGTCGAAATGTCAGTGCTACAGTTTTCATGTTCATAAATGTAAATGTGTCTTGAAGCTTTGTTCAGGGACAATATAAGTGACGACTGACAGCTGTGGTTTAATTCAGTGTGTGTACGTGTAGATCTTTATTACTGAAGTGAGTGACACAGCTGATAAAGATCAATTTTGAAAAGACAGAAAACGTATGCAAACGTAAATGGAAATGTGCAACAAATGCACCATGACCTGTCACAAAATTCCAGATGCCAACATCTCCTATTAGCCAACCATTTATTTTATAAGATGATTGAACAGATAAATTAAAGATCTACTGCAAATCTTTAAATTTAAATGACAAATTATTTTGGGCAGGCTCAAAAATTGTATCTTCACGCCATCCAGCAGCCTGATATTTTCTAAAATATTCACCGTCGTCCATGTCAACACGAAGGGTATGTTCACACAACAACTATGACAAGGATGTGTGCTTATTTGCTCAATTGTAAGTCAATGTGAATAAATACATCAGCTAAATAAATGATAAAAATGTATTTAGGATGGACTAAAAATACAACCGAATGCAATAGCCTACGGTTCCTCTTAAGATTTCATCCTTATCTTGCCCTCATATTTTAAATGGAGTTTTTATGTACCACCTACACCACTTTGGCTTGAACTGTGGGGATTGTAAAGCAATTTTCTTTGCAAAGCTGCTTTGGAGCTATTTGTAAAAGCACCACACACACAAAAGAAGTTTGAATTGAATTTAATTATTGATCCTTCCCACGACCTCTTTTCCAGGGCAGATATTTGTGCACATTAAACAACATCCAAGGAGTCCAATGTTAAGGGGCAAACCTCTAAAACATTACATAACTTAAATCAAATTCCTCATTTTTATCCATAAAAAGAAAAAAATCGACATAGACTTAGCAAAATGGCTATTTCAGGCTTTAAAAACTTAGATAACTCACATGCAAGGATCATTGAAGAAGGTTTTTCTTCTCACTATCAAATGCCAAATAGCCTTAATTATAGAATAACCCAGATACAGATGGTTTTTAGGTTGGTTCTGGGGTGAAGTCTTTGAAGGTGTCCAGTGGGAAGGGTTCACAGAGATTGCAACTTACTTGATTTTTTAAAGAACCCTCTCAACTAATGTTTAGCAATGAGCATATCAATCATCTCTACTTCTTTTAAAGAAGACCTATACCAATTTCTTTAGTGTTTAATGTTGCCTTTTGAGCATGAAAAAGGTCTGCAAAGTTACAAAGCACAAAGTCTTCTCTATATCAGTAAGCACTGTTTCCGAACTGCCTAAAATAGGGGGTGGTTCGTGGCCTGGTTGAGTTGTATTAGTAGTGTGTTGAGATTTGCTGTTATGGTAAGGGGAAACATGCTCAAAGTGGTTGACCAATCAAAGCACACTGGTCCAGCTGACCAATCAGAGTACAATTGCCTTTTCAGAAGGAGGGGCTTTAGAGACTGGAACTAAACAGAGCGTTACTGACAGACTGGGAAGAGAGGTGCTGCAACAATTTAAAATATATAAAAACCTATCAAGACTTTGTAAAAGAGCATAATATGGCTTCTTTAAG